GAAGGGGGAGGGGGGGAGATAAGGGTGGATGAGTTAAAGGGAAAGTGGAGAAGGTGAGGCCTGCCCGCCCGTGGCCCGCCCGCCCGCCAGCGCAAGACAGAGACGGGCGGGGGAGGGACAAAAGGGAAATTATAACACACACGATTTATGGAATGAGGAGAGATACTTTTGCAGGGACGCTGCCGCTCACGGGGGCGGGTGTCGCGGAGGCGGGGGCCGGCGTGGGAGGGGCCTAGAGGAAAGAAAAGGCTGCTTGGCTCCACGCAAATCCACCCCCGAAGAGACTTCCTGCAGCTGTAGCTGTGTTCGCCGATGGGCGGCCAGTGTTTGGACTTTTTTCAGGTGAGAATTCTTATTATTTTTTTCCTTGATTCCAGCTGTCATTCTTCTTTTGCTTTCATGACATAACTTTAATTTCCCCGCTTGATCTAGGCCGGCCGGTGGCGCCGCTGCTGTGGGGCGCCTGGCTCCCTCGCTGTGCTCGGTCACCCTGACACGCGCAGACCGCAAACCTCGTCAGGCGCGCACCGTCCCGGCAAATCGGACCAACTACTGTGATATTTATGTCGCGTTTTTGGAAGTGAGTGCGCAGTGCACCGCGCCCCGCCGCGCCCCGCCACGCCGCGCGCACCTCCCCTCGCTGTCGGCGGCCTCGTTTGACGCACGTCACGGCCACACACAGCGCTGGCGATGCACAAAACAATTTGGTTTTGTTGTGGTCAGTCTCTCATTACGGACACAGATATGCCATTCAAAGAGTTAAATGAGCCTTTGTGCTGCTCATGCTCTCTGAAAGCCCCTCCGGCCGCGCCACCTGCCCAGCAGAGCTGCGGGGTGCGCGCGGTGCAGGCAGGGTGCAGGCGCTCCGTAAGGCGCCGGTCTATCCCCCGCGCCGGACGCCTCAGAGGGTGGCTGCGTGTGGGGTCGTCCGTCATTGGTGTTCGAATCAGTATCAAGGGCAGTAAAAACTGTTACATCCTCACAAACAAATGTTGGTTTTACAAATTGGAAGCTGCGAACAACTTGGCAGCTTCGCTTTATAGTTTACAATCTAACTCGATGAAAGGTTAGTTAGCGTGCGACCTGCAAATTTGTTCGCAACAGATTTCATCAACTTATTTGCTCGAGGGCCGGATCGAATGGTGCTTAAACCATTTTCTGTAGCCTCCCGAATTGGATCAGTAGAGAGCTCTCCGAGGGGTCCCCCACTCGTCAACTCGTTGTACACTTGGTCGCGCCCAACTCGCTCCTAACTCGCGTTCAACTCGCGACAACTCGCGAAAACTCACGATAACTCGCGAAAACTCGCGAAAACTCACGATAACTCGCGAAAACTCGCGTCAAAATCGCGCAAAACCCTCTAAAAATTGATCCCAACTCGCGGCTTACTCGCGGCAACTCGGCAACTCGGCAACTCGTTGTACACCTATTTTGGAAGTGGGGGACCCCTCGGAGCTCTCTCAGTTCAATAGCAAGCAGCGGGATAGAAGGTGCCCTTTCATCCTCCGTCCCTCACGAGTGCACTGTTAAAAAAATCGATTGTAATTTTACAAATTTTGGTGGCAACTTTTTACGCAATTCAATGTTTGTAAAATTACAAACTAAAACAATTGTAAAAAAAAATGCAAACGTGTTTTAAAATTTCAGAATTTGCGATCTGAAAATGAAAAACGTTAATGTGAATTTTCAAAACATCAAGGTTTCTAAGATGAAAGTAATTTGCCATGAACATGGAGCAGGTGAACCTCAAACGGTCTTAAGATCAGCTTATCAGCTAGTTGGGCTGAGGGAGTGTCGGTTACCTCTTTGGGTAAAGTCACAACAAAAATACGGGAGCGCGTGGCAGGCGCCCCCTACTGGGTGCGAACCGCGCCGTACCTAGCTAAGGAGAGGTAGCGGGGACCGGCGCGCGCTGGAATAAGACCAATTATTTGGGGCATTAACGTGACTTTTTGCTCCAAAACAAATGCGTAGCCAGCTACAGCATTGTGTTACAGATCATACCGCACAAAAATACATGTCAGTTTCTTGTGCAAATTTTAGTTAAATACTAATAATTGTTCTTGGAAGAGACGCGCTGACCACATCGCCATCTGGCGGCAGTTCTTTGAAGTACAGTCGCTGTTTTGTCGTATGAAAGTCCTAAGTCACAACGAGCTTACGGGTGTGGAGGTTCGTTGTACTGTAGTACACCTGATGGAGGACTTGTGCAGGTCCTGTTTCATTTGGTTTTACTTCGCAAAATTACAAACTGCAATCGGAAAATTACAATCAAATCTCACATTTCCGATAGAGTGATGACAATTTTACAATCGCAAATTGTAAAATTACAAATGTTTCCTAATTTTCAGAAGAGAGATTTGAATTTTCAGAAATCCGTTATGAATTTTAATAACTAATTGCAAAATTGACAATGTTATGAAATTTCCCAACCACGTTTGCAATTTTACAACTGATTCTGATGTGAAATTTCACAACTTTTTTAACAGTGTGAGTTCTGATTCTGGCGCGGCGGGAAAATACATCATTAGGTCAGGTCTCATTTTATAAAACGCGGACGGGACCCGTTTCTCCTTAGAAAGGCGGCGCGTCGGCTCTGCTTCTGCTTGCCTCACTGTTTTGAGAAGTAGTACGGAATCGGGATGAGGAGGCGAAACGATATCGGGGAAATCCCGCCGCCCGGGTAAGAAGAGCGAAAAGGGCGGCTGTCTGTAGCGGTGCGGCGGCTGCAGGGAATGCTTCCTGCGTGTGACGTTTGGGAGGATGCTCTGCCTTACAGCAGCCCCCCCCCCCCCCCGCAGCTTGTACCGTGCTCATTACCACCCAGTCGATACCCCCTCGCTCCATTAGGCCTGCCGCCCCGCCACCTGCTGCACTCGTTTTCTTTTAGGCGTCAACCCTTTCCCGAGATGCGTCGCCGCCCCCCGCCACTCCCTGGGCAAGAGGGCCGTAGCTGTCACAATGTCCTCGTAAAGTTCATCGGGGAACCATACTAAGTGCCTCGGCGAATGGGGGGATGGGGGTCGCATTTAGCGCCGGAATGGTTTAGTTTTCAACCCACGGAAAGAAGTAAAATATTAAAGTACCTTTGGAAAAGCTTTGAAATAGATATAACGTTAAAACGTTACATTCATAGGCTCATACTGGTTTCCTCAGAGATTTTAGGTGAACTTGTTATTATAGTTCTATGTTTTCTTATGTATGCGTGAATCATAGGAGATGCACTTCTGCACTCACCCCGTACGGATCGTTCTGCTTTCTGCATGGAGAGAGGGGAGGGGGGTGGGCTGGTCAATCAAGTGTCATCCTAATTGTGCTAATTGGGACATACAGGGGGTGTCACCGCAGAGCGATGGCGCGTGTGCCTTTCATTGCGGCTGGAAGCGCACGGCATGGACGTCGTTTGGAAAAGTGTGTGTGTGTGTGTGTATGCGTCCATGCGTCCCACGTGTGTACACTCTTCTCCTCTCTTCTCTAAAAAACAACAACAAAAAAAAACATTAAATCCTTTCTAAGTGTCAGTATGAGTATGATTTTTTTCCAACAGACAAAAGTCACTTCAGCCATTTTGGGTCGGTCAGGGTTGCAGCAGCTCTGATAATTCAACAGTGTGCTCCATATTGACAGTCTTTGTGCAGCATTAGAAATGGAAACGTATGACGTAATTAAAGTAATTAATGATTAGAGACGCGCAGACCGAAAATCCGTATACAACGGAAAAGAAAGGTTTGACTCTACCAGCTGCGAGGGGTGCCCAACTCGAAAAAATCGTGTACACCTGATTTCCAAAAAGTGGTGATTACCAGGAATTACCAGAGATTACCAATGATTACCAAAGGTTTCCGAAGATTACCAGTGACAAAAGATTACCAGAGATTACCAAAGATTGCTACTGATTACCGGTGATTACTCTGAAAACTCAACAGCATGTATTGCATTTAAAGCATGCAGTGGTATGCACACTGTATTTAACGGATACATAGAGATGCATGCTGTATTTAACGCATGCATGGAGATGCATGCTGTATTTAATGCATGCATTGAGATGCATGCTGTTTTTAACGCATGCATTGAGATGCATGCTGTATTTAATGCATGCATTGAGATGCATGCTGTTGCTACAACTCGATTTCGTGGAATATTTACTAAGTGAGCTTTTCGGTTTTATTTTTGATAAGCCCAACAGATTCCTTGGAAAATTTCGTATCGACCGAGCCAACATGAGATGGGGAAATTTCACAAGGAATCCGACGGGCTTATCAAAAAATAAACCAAAAAGGTCACTTAGTAAACACTGGAAATGCAAGTGTGTGAATATTCCACGAAAACGAGTTGTAGCAACAGAATGCATATCAATGCATGCATTAAATACAGCATGCATCTCAATGCATGCGTTAAATACAGCATGCATCTCAATGCATGCGTTAAATACAGTGTGCATACCATGCATGCTTTATTTAACGCATGCAATGCATGCTGTTGGGTTTTCAGAGTTACCAGAGATCTCCAGTGATTGCCAAAGATTACCAGTGATCACCATGGATTTCCGGCGATTACCATGGATTACCGGCGATTACCATGGATTACCGGCGATTACCACCCAGCAGAAAATTCCGATTACGGTTACGGCTACGGTTACGAATACGGTTACGGTTACACTCGTAAATTGGACCCATTTCCGGTTACGGTTACGATTAAAGTTCCGGTTACGATTACGTTTACTGTTTCGGATACGATTACGGTTAGTCAGCCCGGTTACGGTGAGAACGTTCCGGTTACGGTGATGACGTATTGGCAGTAACTCAAAGCCCCTATGAGACCAGAGCACATGACGCCCATGTAAACTTTTGACGCCGAGCACAATGGTGGTGTTTTCGTTGCGGTATCTCTAACAGTTCTCAAGATAGCCAGGGGTTGAAAAATCGACTCTTTCCAAACTCCACACATAGTTTTGACTTGTGTTTCCCTTACGTTACCCTTAACCGTTTCTCTCTGCAAAGCTTAGTTTAAGCGCTACGACATTTCAAAGTTTGATATTTTCCGGTTACGATCGTAATCGTTTCGCATTACTCGTAACCGTAACTGCTGACCGTAACCGGGCTACGGTTACGGTCGTATTCGTAAGCTTACTCGTAACCGTAAGTGTAAACCGTAATCAAACTCCGGTTACGATCGTAATCGTAAATTTTAACCGTAACTGGAACAAATTACGGCCGTAATCGTAAATTATGACCGTAACCGTAGCAAATTGCAGCCGTAATCGTAAATTCTGGCCGTAACCGTAACCGGAATTTTCGGCTGGGCAAGGATTACCTTCGATTACCAAGGATAACTGGCGATTGCCAATGATTACCGGTGATTACCAGGGATTACCTACTCTGTGTACACCTGATAACCTCAGTTGGACACTCACCAGCTGACATTCATTCGCTGGCATTTGGACAGATAACCTAATAAGTTTCTGGAATTGCCATACGACCTATTCTAGTCGATTATTGACTGTGGTCGTTGATTATTGACTCTGGTAGGTACTATGCAGATGGTAGGAACATTGGCTTCCAGAGTCAACATTCGTCTACTACAGTCAATAATCGGTTTCAATAGCTCAAATAGCAATTCCAGAAACATTCGATGTTATCAGTCCAAATACCAGTAGCTGGCAGAGCGAATCCTTTTTTCCCGCTCAAAGTTATTTAAGACAGAACAGAGGGAGGAGGAGAACGGCTCGAATAGCGAGGGTGAGAGTGAGCTGGCTCGGAGCCGGGCCGGGCAGGTCGGCGTCCAAGACAACCGCGGCGCGACGGAGAACTTAATTGTGAGGCGAGTTCCCTCACAGAGAAATTACGAAACGCCGCCACCGCGCCTCGAGATTCCGAGAATCCGGCGCGGCGCGCGCGGGGCAGGCGCCAGACTCTATGACAATACCATCACACGGCCCTGTTGTGCCTCCGGGAACCTCAAATTAATTAGTAGCTGCGCCCCCGCCCGCCCGCGCCCCGCTTCAGCACCCTTTGCTCTTCCCGGCTTTACTTTGCGCCCGGCCTGCTCAACCTTGATGCCCGCCTCGCCTCCGCCTCCCTCACTCCCGCCTCTCTTCTCTTTCTTGATCTCGCTGCTGCGTCTCCTCCTGGATTGATAGTTATGCTTTGACTTTCCGCCAGACCACCTCCTTCCGTCTTCTCTGTGTTCACATTCTATATTGGGGTCTCCGGCAAGTCCCTCTGGTGCGATGCCTTATTGCCTTATTTCCTGCTTGTCTTTTGTTTGCTCGCAGGCCTGAATTGTATGTGACTCGAGATCTGTTTGGGTGATTCCCCCCCCCCCTCTCATCGTTAATTCAGGTACCGATATTCCAAGTGGCTGTGCCCTACCTTAGGCTGGCCGGAGGGGGCGGCGGGGAGTGTTAAATAAGTGTCAATTCCTTGCCTTTGTTGTGTCTGAGAAGACGGAGGTTCGTGTATACTCGGCCGGCGTACAGTGGCTGGCGACTCGGAAGCGTGGGGTAGCAACGGCCGCTCGTTCTTCGGGGCTCCCTTCGATAGCGGAAGGGTATGGAAAAAAGAAATCTGCATCCGATTAATGTTTGTCTCATTTGTATGGTTGACTGGTTCTCGGATAGAGCAGTGAATGGAATGATGGAGTGAATTGTGCACTGATCGCTGAAAGGACTTTTACTGCCCAAGCTGACTGTACGCAGGTAACGCCCGCGCTTCGTGGCATGCCATGCACTCCTGCGCCCATTGAACCTCTACACCAGGGGTCCTTAACTTAACTACTTTTTGTTAAATCCATAATGGTTATTTTTTATAAAGAAAGTTATATGTTGTTTTTGTACACTGGTAAAACAAGTGTTTAATTTTGCACGTCAATTGACGTTTAAGTTCAAGTGTGCATTTTCTCGACACTTTGTGGTGTCTAACTTTGTTATACGTCAATTGGTGTTTAAAATTTCGACACTTCCGAAACGTGTAGCAGCTGCACACCGTATGGTTCCCTATTGACAGCATACAACTGTGTGTGCCCAAGTGTGCAGAATTTAAACGTTTACAAAACGTCTAAAATTTGCACACCACGCAAGTGTGCAACTTGAGTTAAACACCATGTAATGTGCAACATCACAACTTGCACACGTTGGTGTGCAAATATTGCACACTTGTTTTACCAGTGTATCTGTTTAGTTTTATGCTAGGCGTTACCGGTTATCGGGTTTAACATAAGTTACGGACCCCTGCTCCACACGTGATATACGAGAATGTGTCGCCCAGTGGCTATTGTTTCAGATTCAGCTTCACCGGCGAGAGCCGCTCTTTTCTTTATACTTAGAGATGCGTAGTTTTGGGTTTGGCTTGCTGGTCTGGTTCCATGTACTTTAGAAAGGTGTGACAATTAGCCCAATATGTGTGTTCTGGGTTTCGAATCTTTATCCTCGACCACCTCTCCAAGTACAAATAGTTTGCTGAAAATAATGCCCAGCGAAAAAAAAGTCCTGGCGCGCTCGAACGTTGTTTTGATTGAAGCATGGCCCTTTACGTGCACCAAACTGCGCAGTAGCACGTACCAGCCGGAGACAGCTTCCACAAAGTGTTTCAGGAATCAATGCACAACGTTGCCTCTGTTTTAATATTGTAATGTTTTGCGGCACTGCTTCTGTTTAGCCTTATGTGGAGAAA